TATTATGCATCCAAAGATGCATCTCAAGCCGGTCCAGAGAGGTGATACTCCCCCTGTATGTGACTTTGGTAAGGTTGCAATTGGAGTACTGCATCCAGTATTGGGTGCTGCACTTTAAAAAGGATGTTGCCAGCCTGGAGAGGGTTCAGAGGAGGACCACCCGCTTGGTGAGAGGGCAACAGGATAGGCCCTATGAGGAGAGACTGAGGGACCTGAACCTGTTCAGCCTCAGCAAGAGGAGACTGAGGGGGGACCTGGTGGCTGCCTACAAACACATCTGGGGTGATCAACAGCAAAAAGGTGTTTCTCCCCAGCAGCACCTGGGGTGATGAGGAACTATGGTAATAAGCTGATGGAGAATAGGTTTAGATTAAAGATCAGAAGGCAATATTTTACAGTTAGGGTGGCCAAAATCTGGAACCAACTTCCCAGGGAAGTGGTCCTCACCCCTACCTTGGGCAAATTCAAGAGGAGGTTGGATGATCACCTGTCTGGGGTCTTGTGAACCCAGCATTCATTCCTGCCTGTAGAAAGGGGGTCAGGCTAGATGATCTGTTCAAGTCCCTCCTGACCCTAGCTACTATGAAACTATTTATGTCCATTTCTTAGATCTGAGTTCTCTGGAATTTCCCTGGATTGCCTTTTTTCCCTGGGAACAGTTAATGGAGAACTCAGGGGATCCAGTCCCCTGAGGATATTTATCTTCCATCAACAGTGCTCCCTTGACCCAACTCATTGTCTGCTGAGGAGTCTTGTGTTCTGTTTTTCACTTATTTTCAGTCTCCAACAGCTCCTGTACATTTGACAGTCAATGTTAACCTTTTGTATTTGTTCATCTGTATGTGTAAACTGCTTAATAATTCACCCCCTCAGAACTCTGCATAAAACCAGACTCACTATCTTTTACCTATCTCATTCTGAATTTGTTCTTAACTGCTAGCTCATAGAACTTGCACCTTTTTCAACATTCAAATAAGTTTCTAAAATTTCTGGTATGGAGGAAGGAGGAGATCCCTTTTCAGCACATTCTACAAACTTCCACCAGATTTCTAAGCAAGAACCTATTTTTTTTTCTTTTCCTCTGTAGAACACTGACTTGATGGGATGACTTTTCCTTTAAAATAATTTCCCAAACATTTTAAAATCAATCAGTGATTTGAGGTGTGTCACTTCTGTTCTAGGCTTTTACAATTGTAATTTTTACAGACACTTGAATGTGAGGATCAATTTTTTGTGACTCACCTATTTCAGAGTTCTCATTAAGATTTAGTAAGAACACTAAGGGGCTATCTGATAGCTGGCATCCTATTATTTCACTAACCAAGTATTCAGCTTATTTCCCAAACAGTTTGATTCTGGAACATGTCTATCATATGTGGTAGAATCCTCCCAGGTGATCACACTCTCTCCAAAGCTTCTCTATTACTGTGCCATAAATTCATTAAATTGCAAGTGGGGTGAAATACTGTATTCACTTAAATCCAAGATGAAGTTTTTTCCCCATTTAACATGGGGGGGAAAGCCCCTCATCTTGGATTTGAGTACAAGGCTCAAAGCCAGGCAGACAGCTGCTGAGACTCTGGCCCAGACCTGGGGTTGGGGCCAGAGCTGCAGGTGCTGCCTGCCTCTGTAGCTTGCCGCCTCTACCTCCATAGTCTCCGCTCCACCACCTTCCCGCCACAGCCTCTGGCCCTTCTGCCTGTCACCCCACTTCCTCCTCCCACCCCCCACTTCCCTCCCACTCTCTCTTCCCTCGGACTCCAGTTCTGGCAGGTGTGGGCCTGGTGCCAGCTCTGGCTGCAGCCTAACCCTGTACAAGCAGCATTGGCAGCCTAGGCTGGGGCCAGAGCTGCCATGCTACCACCACTGCTACAGGGCAGGCTGAAACTGGCATGAATATGTGCTGTGTCCCAGACTGATGTGGGGCCTGCGCATGCAGGAGTAGGAGCAAGAGTAAGCAGCAATGGGTGGGGGGAGAAGGGGGGAGGCTATGGGGGG